CCGTGGGCCCCTAGCTTCTTCCCGCCATCCGCTTGTCAGCGTGTGGGGGAGGGCAGGGGTGTGGAATCGGGCTTGCAGTTGCACGTGCGCTCTTTTCGCCTCACGGCGTGGGCAGTGTATGGGTCTTCCTGAGCCAAGCAGCTAGCTTGAGCTAGGGGTTGGAAAGGTTCTGTCTTTCCTGCTACACTGCACCTATGGAGGACTTATGATGCTGTTTTAGGTGCTTTTATAAGCTTAACTGGTTGCATGAACCCTCTAACCCTAGTTTTAGAGTTCCAGTTCAGTCTAAATGACTGTTTCTGAACTAAAGCAGCCACTCATTCTTGTAAGGTGTTTGCTTTTATAAAGGTAAGAACCACAGCCTGGACCACTGCATGGTTTTTCCACGGCTCTGAATGAAAAGACTGCGAAGCCAGAAAGCATCGTTAATGTACATAAGCTGAGTGGGGAATGTGGGAAACAAAGATTTCTCCCCAGTTGCCTCCCCCAAATGTATCATCTCAAAGTTAGTTGCTTGCTGCGTGTGGTGAATGTGACTATACACTGAAAGGCCAACAGAGGTTAGGGGTTGGTTATTCTCCCCTAAGGGTTGTCATCCATCTAGAGTTAAGCAGATACCATTGTTTATCCCACAAGAAGATTAGGGCCCACTCCCTTCTGATGAGGGTAGTAATAGAGGTCGTCAAGCCCACTTAAGAGTCACCAAGGTGAGGCTGCTATGTTGAGTCTAGGGTCTGCCCTAATTGCCATGTGTATATACCTCTGGTTCCTCCCCTGCCTGCTGCATGCACACCCACCCCTAGCTGGTTCCCTTCTTGCCATGCTCATGCCTATGGTAGGTACACCCCCTTCCTATGTTGTGTATGCCTATTGTACAGTCCCTTCCTGTGATGTGTGCGGTCACCTGTCTCTGAAAGGGAAGCCTTGGTCAGCTGTAAGAGAAGTCCTCTCTCCAGCTCTGTCCATGTTGGACCACCAAGTGAAGCTGAGGTGAGCATTGCTACCCTGAAGTGTGTCCACCTCCGTTCTTTCCATCTTTCCTGTGTCTCTCATTCTATAGGACTTTTAGTCTTGATCTGTCTTAACCGTACAATTGTGCCTGTTTGAACCCATGTCGTTGTAGGGGGGCTGACATTCTGGGAACAGTTGAGAATTGTGAAGGGTGTTATCATCGGTCGGAGTGCACTATGAAAAGGATGCCTGAGCAAACACAGTAAGGACATTCTGGAACACAGGCCAGGGGAGGGAGAGGTTCAGAGGAGTATATCAACAGGGGAGGGTGTTTATTATGTCAAGTCCCCTTCACCAAGGTTGCCCTGGGGAGCACCCTAGGGTGTTTTCATTAGGTTCCCAAGGCGGGAATGGTTGGGGTCAAGACCTTCTGTCAAAAAGAGGGGGTGGATGTGGATTGCAAAAGGCATTTCCACCCACTATTGTCTCTGCCTTTTGCTTTGGTTTTCATTGAAAGGCCCAGGAGAAGGGGGGGGGGGGGGGGGTAGTAGGGGGTAGTCTTCGCTTTGCTAGAAGGTTTTCTTTCACTACACAGAAGGGGGAGGGGACCTCAGAGGGGAGGAGTGTGCTGTGTTGGATAGTGTGATCAATTGGTTTATTGTGCCAACCTGGCCTATAAGAACAATTGAGGTTTAATAAGGTTGTGATTTCATTTGGTGGGCAGAGAGATTAAAAATGGCTCTGAAGGACCCAGGTGCTCTGTCTCTCTCTCTGTTCTCTGGTGATGGGGACCCACTATGTGATTGCCTTTTAGCTAAGGTCTCTGCCTCCAACTGTGAGCTAATATGCTACCTGTGGGGGGCACCTGACCCATGGGTCCTGCCCCTAAAGCTCGAGGTTTTCCTTTCAGGTGTGCCATTGCCATGCTGCTGGTGTGTTGCCATGCTGCTGCCTGAGCTTGGGATGGTTGGATCCCGTGATCTGGTTAATTGTGGGGGGACTCACCTGGCTGTCTGCTGCCTCTGGCTGGACTGACTGCATTGCTCTCTGGAAGCCTCAGCTGTCTGCTTGCTTCCTTGACCTTGGAAGGAGCAGCGCTTGCAAGATGATGGATTTGCCAGGATATTAATTATTTCATGGAAGTGGTTTAAACTGAACCACCCCCACTCCCCACCCCACCTCCCCTCGGCATTGTGGGGACTGTTACAGTACTTCTTGTTTTGTGTGCTGTAGGGGAGGTAGGCAGTTGGGGGTTGAGAGGTAGGGAGGTAGCTATGCAGGTGGGGGTTGAGAGGTAGGGAGGTAGCTATGCAGGTGGGGGTTGAGAGAGGTAGGGAGGCAGGCAATCAGGGCTGAGAGGTAGGGAGGCAGGTAGGGGGGAGGAGGAAGGTAGGGAGGTAGCTATGCAGGTGGGGGTTGAGAGAGGTAGGGGGCAAGCAGGCTGGGCTGAGAGGTAGAGAGGGAGGCAGGTACGTGGGGGGGAGGCAGGTAGGTAGGTAGGTGGAGGGGGGAGGCAGGTAGGTAGGAAGCGAGGGGGGAGCTCTAGGGGGGGAGGTAGAGTTAGCGAGGGGCAGGTGGGGAGGGTGAAGTAAGCACGATGGCAGTGATCTAATTGTTAAAGTCATCCCCTTGACATAAGGTTTGTGGCGTTCGCTTCCTTGCGTGCCCAGGGTCAGCGTTAAGGGCCAGGGGACACGAGGGCAGGGAGAGTGGAGTTTGGAACATTCCATTCTGGCCCGCCCGCCATGAGCATCCCGATCAGGCTCTGCCAGGTGGCCCTGTGCGGCCTTGGCCGAGTCGGCACGGCCATGTGGGTGAGGGTCTGTGTGTGCTCGGCATGCGCCCGGGTGGCCCCTCGCCAAGCACAGCAGATGCACAGAGGGCGACCTCGCGCATCCCCTCTCCCTCCAAGCCAAGTAAGGGGCTCGTCTGTCTCCCTGGGTCGACCAGGGACCCAGGCGGAGAGGAGCAAGGGCAAAGAGAAGCGGAGGAGTGTTCCGGTGGCGGCCAGGGGTTCCAGCACGAGGCCAGCGGGGGCGTGCAGATTATTTTTTTGCTGAAGTGTGATGCTGGCATAGTTACATTCCCAAAGATCAAAAGAGTTAACAAAAAGGTCCAGAAATTAACTCAATCCCGAAACATTAAACAAAAGGCGTGCTGGTGCCTCTGTGTATTAGTGTTAAGCTGCTACCCTGAATGCCACAGGTACAATATGCATCAGCTGCTATGAGGAAGAATGATTGACAGTCTCATAAACTCTATGCAGGGCCATTTTGCGTCACGACTAACATGATGGTCGTGGGTGATCTGTTATTCTATAATAAAGTCGTTGTTGTCTTTTTAATCAGGAGGAAAATATGAACTAGTTAACAATGAAGCTGAATAAACAGGGGTGACAAATGCATTTAGATTATTCAATTGTTGCCCCGAAGAATCAAACATCTGGTGTGGAAATCCCCGCTAAAAGTCCTCTACTTCATCCACGTTCTTCTGGGACATGGGTTTCAGTTTGGAAGCCCTGACAACCAGAAGAAAGTAGAGAGAGACTAAGCATGATGAAACCTCTAGACTTTGAAAACTTCTTGGAAGCTGTGTGAGGCAGAAACTGCAGAGACAAGGCAAATTGAAGCTTCCACTAAAAAGGAGCAATGGGGAAGTGGTAAGAGTGCATCCTGGCAAAGTGGAAAACCATTCAAAGATTTTACAGGACACTCCTGTTGAGTTTCAGCTCTCCCAGGTTTCACTGTGGTTTCAGAGTCTTCAGAGAAGATACCCCCAAATTTGTGGGGGAAGGCAGAGGGACACAGAGACTGTACAGGGAAATGTTAGTCAAATTAACTGTGTAAGAATTAAAAGGCATGCAAACACTTGTTATAAATAAAGAAAAATAGAGACACAGCAGGAAAAGAATTTGCCCTGCGTTCCATAGACAAACTGCTCATCCCCTTACTAGACAAGGACTCTGAAAGATTACTAAAGAAAGACAAGCAATCAGCGAAGGAGGAGAACAGATCAAGGCACGCATTGGCAATAATAGGAGAAATAAAGATCTAAACACCATAAAGAATGGGCCATGTGTTTGCTCGCCCTAAAAATCAAAGGCAAGAACAGGAAACCATTGACACCTCATTGTCTCCAACCATATTAGCAAAAATGGAAAATAATCATTCCCATTCTACTTATGAGAAAGACAATAAGAGCAGTGTTTTCGTGAATAATTGGTGAATCTTTCAGACTTTCAATGGGTGATGAAAACACAAGCCATGTTGGCACACGGGTCCGGCTCCAGCAGGTGGCGCTGGCGCTCCTGGGACAGAGTCAGGCTCTGTGCCACCAGGCATCTGGGCCTTCAGGGGGGGATGTGATGGCACGCCCAGAATCGGCCACAGGGGGCGCTCTGCACACGTGCACTGGCATCCCAGGCAGCCTTTGGGGGCGGGGCCGGCATTTCCGGGGTTGGAGCCCCTGCCTTTGAGAAGGGAAATGATCACGTGACTCCTGGCTGTCTGCGCAGGCACACTGGGGTCCCCTCTTGGCTGAGGGGAGGAGCTTACAAGATCCTGGAAGAGATCAGCGGCTTCCTGCGAGCGCTGAGCAGAGATTCGCAGGTCGAGGAGACACCATGTGGGCCTCAGGTGGCGGAGAACGTGAAGTGGCCCGCGATTCAGCAAGTGAAGGGGATGGCCGCGAAGGTACGCACCACCCTGAGAGCCAGCGTGGTCATAGGGGAGCCGAGGATACCTGTGACGAAGGTGTCCATGAAGGCCTCAGAGGCCATGGAAGCCTTGTTGGCTCTCAGGGGCATGCAGGCCAGGATGGGGCCCGGGGGAGCCCTGAGGGATCCCAAGATGCAAGTAGCTCCAGGGGTATTGATCAGGATGGCCCTGGTAGCTCCAGCAGTGGCCGTCAAGTGCAACCCGTTGCCCTAGGAGGCCAGGGGGCACCTGGGAACACTGAGCAACCGAGTGGTGAAGAGGCAGTGGACACAGCAGAGCCTCCCGCTCCTGGCGCAGTGCAGGCCCAGGCTGCACCAGAGCCGGCTGGAGATCCGGTGCCTGCACCTCGAGGTCCAGCAAACCGAAATCTCGAATTGTATCCTTTGAAAGAGAAACTCGAGCCCCACCCCCACGGGGTCCTGTGTGTCCAGTGTGACAGTCTCAGCGGGGTCTTGGACCATGGGGTGGAGCGAACTGCAGGGGTCTGGATAGATATAAGAGTCCTGGAGGTACTGAGGGCTGGGGTACAGGGGTGGTGTTCAGTGGGAGGGAGGCAGTCTAGGCCGGTTTGAGCTGGGTATTGCTTGAAGCCAGCCCTGAGAGGGATGAGGAGGCTGGGGCTCAAAACCAGTGTCTGATGGCCCCTTAACCACATCCGTGCAGCACAGTCGTCGTACCATTCCGGTCTCCTCTGGAGGCAGAGATTGCGCGCAGTTTCCTGGCCATGGATTTACCGAGCTGCGAGGAAGAGATTGATATGCAGTTGACGGTTCAGGGCAGCGTCATGACTGTGTAAGTTCTAGAAGGGGCCTGCGTTGATTAGGGTGGCAGGTATTTGGCCTGATATCAGCCACAGGGAGCACATATTTGAGATAAAATGCAAACCCACTGCTATCCCAAGGCTGTCAATCTGTATGGAGACAGCCAGCCTGACCTTTCTCCCTTGGAGCACAGGCGGGTTTCAATTGTGACCTTGGGTTTAATAATCCGAGGTGTTAATCTGTACCCCACCCCACCCCTCCAGGAGAGGCTGACTCTGGTCTAAGGAGATACTGGGTGCACTCACTGCGATGGCTTTGCTGGCCTGGAAAATAATATCTTCTCCCCTCACTTTAGCAGGTGGAGTGAAGAAGACATTTTTGTGTTACGAATTTACACCAACTGTTTCCTGAAACAACTTAGCCTGGTGAAACGCCATCTTGCCAGCTTTGCACCTCCAGATCTGCGAAACCCTGAAGGGCAAAGGGGGGCTGATGCCTAAGCTTCCTTCCAAACGTACCCAGTGTTTCCTTCCCAGAGCACTGATTGCTTCAATCGTTTGCCACTATGAGCCTGTTTGCCTGAATTAGACCTTGAACGTGGAGGACCCACTCCTTTGGTTTTCTTGTTTGGGAGGGAAGAGGGCGCTTCATTGTTTGTCACTGCAGAAAATAAAACCGAGCTGCAACATTTCGTCCTGATATTTGAGGGGAGGTTCTGGGACTCAGATTTCCAATTAATTCAATAGAATTGAGGACAATTGGAGAACCAAAGTTCATTTTTTTCTGAAATGTGTTCTGTCATTCAGCATTCACCACTGAAAACATTTTGGAATTGATTTTCCTTTGTATATTTGCATGTATGTATTAGTGAGCGCACCTATGTATGCAGTGTAACGTTTTCAGGAGGTTAACATTAAAATTTTCTTGTGCACATTGGGTTTCTTTCATGAATTTTTCTTTCACATGTAAGTTTTTCCTATCACTAAACTTGAATAAAATGTTGCTATAACAGGTGTGCATAAAAGATATGCAATAGGCTCCAAGTACACTGTGAAATAAAGCAGACTAATTCAGCGTATTCAGGAAAGACTTTAGGAGTAATTACTGCTTTGGGCATGGGTGATGGGGCAGAGCGCTGTTTAATGAACAGTGAACTACCTACTGGGGAATTTTTCTGCATGTATGGTTTATAAGACCATGGCAACATATGTACACATGTGCTTGACACAATGGATTCATGGATGGGTTGTCATCAGAGCTGCACGATCCCCAAATGAAATGATTTTATAAAATAAATTTTAAAACTGGCACTACAAAGATTCTTCATTGCAAGAAATTGTTTAAAACCTCCCTTCGTGGACTCAAACTTCTCCCCTCTGGTTTAGCAAGCCAGGGGAATAGCCATGCCACCCTGTGTGTCTGAAGAGAACTCTTCTCTGTAGGGTTTTCAAGGGCTGACTTTGTAGAAGGAGATTGCCAACCCTATCTTCTGAGGCACTGGTGAGTGGACCAACACTTGTAACTTTTATGTTCACAGGGTACAAGTTTACTGTTTACCTCTCCCCTGTGTGTCAAAGGAGAAGTATTCTTTGGGAATGAAAAGCAAATTGTTTGGAAGTAGATTTATGGGATTTTCTTCTGAGGGACTTCATGATAAACTCAAATTTTTAACTTTTGTCTTTGCAGTCTATGGAAATAGCTAATTTTACCAACAGTCTGTGTCTAAAGAAAAATGTTCTCAGGATAGTTTTCAAGGCCTGATTTTTTTGAATTTGATGGCTAGATCTTACTTCTAAAGTGCCTCTGATTGGACTCAAATGTATAACCATTTAGTTAAGGGAGTAGCAGAGTAGCTGATTGTACACCTCTGTGTATCAGAAGAGAATTCTTATATTTATTCAAGGACAGATATTTTGGAAGTGGGTTTTCAGGCCTTTCTTCTGAGCCACCTCTGAGCATATTCAAACTTCAGACCTATGTTTCACGGACCAGGGAGTAATTGCTTGCAAAACATCTGTGCTCCTCAGAGAATGGTGTTCCACATGATTTTCAAAGCTCCTGGAAGTACATTGCCAGTCCTTTCTTTTGACGCACCTATGATTAGGCTCAACGTTCTAACCTCTTTTTTAACAGACTGGGGAAATGACTGTTTGCACCATACCTGTTTTTCAGAAGAGATGTCTTCTCGGTCGGGGTTTCTAGGGTGGACTTTTGAACTTACGTTGCCAGGTCTTCCTTCTGAGGGCCTGCTATCTGGATTGGAATATTTAATCTTTTCATTAGAAGCTCGGCCAGGTGACAATTTGTACCACCACTGTTCAGCAGAGGAGACTCTGTTCTCTAAGACTTTAAGCCTAGGATTTTTGGAAGTAAATTGCCAGGCCTTTCTTGTGATTTGTTTTAGTGGGACGCAACCTTCTTACCGGTATGTTCACAGCCAAGCCGTGACTTCTTGGAACTCCACCATGTTTCTTAACAGAACAGCGTTCCATCATCTATCAGTTGTGACCACAGGAAATTGTGCTTGCCGCAGGGGCAGGCCTGTTTGGCAAAGCTTTTGAAAAGGCATGGAGCGACGTTTCCCCTCTCTAATCAGGCATTTGGCCTCTCTGTACTCCCTACTCCTGCACAATGTTATGGGGGAAGTGCTCCCAGTTTATATAAAGAAAATCGCTAGGTCTTTCTTCTGGAGCATCTTTAGTGAACTCAAGTTTCTGTGCGTCATGGCACCAAACAAGCTAGTTAAGTGCAATGCCTGTGTGTTCAGGAGAAATCTGTGCTTCACAGCACTTTCTGTAGCTTGCTGTTTGTCAATTGATTGTCAGTATATTCTTGTGACACTTTTCAAAAAATGCTTATGAAATTTCTAACCTTTATGTGAGCAACCATGCGAGTTAATTGTGTGGGGACCCCCCCCCCTATGTGTCAGAATGCACCTCAGCTCATTAGGGTTTTAAACGCTGGGGTTTCTTTGTGGGTGGGGGGCGTGGAGTAGATTACCATGCCTTCTGAGGTGCTTTAAATGGACTAAAATTCTAACCTCTGTTTTGGCAGACCAGAAAAATAACTGCTAGCCCCACTGTGTGTCAGATGAATACTCAGCTCCTTAGGCTTTGCAGCAGATTGCCATTCCTTTCTTCTGAGGTGCCCTGGAGTGGGCTCAAACTTCTCAGATTCTTGTGAGCATCCTAGGGAAAAAAACGGAAACATCCATGGGTGATAGAAGCTGGCTGTGCTCTATAAGGCTCTATATGGTTGGATTTTTTTTAATTTCTTGCAATTTCTTTGCAAGGACTTTCCTCTGTGGCCCCTCTGAGTGGACTCAAATTTCTAACTTTTATGTTAGCAGGCTAGTCAAATAACTGTCTTCACCATGTTGGTGTCATAGGGGATCCATGGTGCGTAGGATTGTCAAGACCTGGGTTTTTAGAAATTCATTAGCATCCCTTTCTGAGGTGCCTCTGTGTGAACTCAAACTCCTAAGCCTTACTTAGGCTACACAGGGAAACAACTTGCAATCTCCAGGGCATGAGAAGCCAGCCTTCTGTGTTCCAGATCTCAGGGTCAAAAGCTACATTACTACTTTGCAGACGGCCTCAGTCTTTCTCAACCCCAAGAAGTTGCCAAACAGTCACTAGGGTTTCATAAGACAGAGACATCACCACTGAAATACCTGTGGCTGGCCATGGCCTCTTTGGTTACAGAGGGCATAGAACCCACATCCTTGAGCACCATAAGGTTAGCTATGCACTTGTTAGGCTTCATGAGAGTGGTCTTGATCTCTGGGAACCAGGAGGTGGGCTACTGTCTCCTTTAGGACCAGAGAAAGTGAGGGGAGGGGGGAGTCTGACAAGTGCTTTTACCTGAAGAGGTGATCAGTCTCCTAGTTTACAGAGCAAGGAACATGCATGTGCCTTTTATGCCCAAGTGTTGAAGCCATTTTCCATGTGTTGCAGAGTTGGGGGTAAATGTTTCCTTGAGCCCGTAACCAGAGTTATGGCTTCCAGGAAAACAGGGCAGTTCCAGCCGCTTCTGAGCCCCAAGAGGCAGGGGTATATAATGCCCCATGTGTCCTAAAATACCACACTGATGCCTTCCTGAGCAGAGGGGACAGAACCTGAGGATGCTGCCTCCTGGGTATCAAAGGGAAGGAGCACAATCTCCCCTAATAATGCATGTAGGGCTCATGCCACTTTGATTTTGAAGTAATGGAAATATGGCCTCCTGGGGTCTACAAGGCATGACCCCACGGTCTAGGTTCCAGACCCTGGGATACTGGCTTGATGGGTCCAAAGGAAGGTCCCACAAACTATGAGAGGACTAGAGAGTCAACTAGGCAGTTGTATATACAAGAGGGAGGGCCACCACTACGCTGAGGAGCTTTGGACTGAGCTAGTTAATAGCTCTGTACTCTAAGAGGCAAGAGCACAGACTTTTCAGCCCAAGTGTGGAGCTGCCACTTTCCTGAGGAAGATAGAACTGAGGACAAAATGTTTCCTGATAGCCGGCAGGTGGAGACCTGCCTGGGTTTCAGGAGGGAGTCGAGTCACCTGCTCTCTCCGGAGCAAGGCCAAATTCCAGATGGTATGAAGTCATCCTCCTCACTTTCAACAGGACATAGTACCAACTCCTGGAATATCAGGCAGCTGGAGGAACCCTTCCTGGTTTCTGGAACAGGGTCCTGACCTGCAATCCACTGGGGCCCAGAGCAGGCCCAAGCCCTTCTGATATTAAGGTCTTGAGAATACACACCCTTGGGTTCCAGGCCGCAGGGCAAAAGCCTACTTTATTAATATACAAGAAGCTCAAGGCCTTCTGACGACCAAGTGGCAGGGAGAAGGCCACATTGGTTGCAAAGTGCTGGGCAAACGCCACTTGGGGACCGGGGGTTTGGCCACATTACTTCATAGGTATAGGGGATAGAGCATCAAAGGCTAAATGTGCACTTGCTGGGCTCCCAGAAAAGCTTCAGCTTTTCCTGGAATCCAGAGTCTCCAGACACCTTGACCTAAAACCCAAGAGCAGGGCCATTATTTCCCTGGACACAGTGGTGGACCTCGTACCTTTCATTAGCAGTCTTCTGTGACAAGCCCTTCACAGCTCCCATAACCTGTAGGGGTCCAGATAGAAGAGGCGATTGCCTTCCAGGTCCCAGTTGCAAAGCTATTACCTCTCTGTGGCAGAAGAGGTCACTGCTTCTCAACAGAAGAGCTTTTGCCTCCAGGAATCTGAATGGCCAAGCCAGGTGCTTCTGTCTCAGGCTCCTAGGTTTTAGAGGGTGGGGCCAACATTTCCCTGAGGACCAGAGGGTGGGGCTATGTTCTCTTGTGCTAAAAGAGGCAGGGCCACAGCCTACTCAGTCAAAGTGTGTATTGCTAAGCTTTTCTGATTTCCAGGAACTGGAGCTGTCACCTCCAGAGTTTCAGAGCGCACAATCACTAACTGCATGGACTCCAGAGATCTGGTACATCACTGAATAAACTCCAAGAGAGGAACCAAAGCAAAGGAAGTCCCAGAGCGTAGGGACACCACTTTAAGTACCAAAAATGCAGAGGCCATGTGTGGGACTCCAGAGTAGGTTTCATGACCTCCTAGTGGGTAACCAGCCTATGCACTCATTTACCCCAACACTGTGGCCATGATTTCCTGGGCTCAAAAGGGCAGGTCACTTTCTCCATGAGTGTAATAGGATGACTCTGCACCCTCTAGAACTGCAATTGGCTAGGCTACAGCCTCCTAGTGGCCAGAGGGAACTGCGTCATGGGTATTAGACAGGTTCAGTGCACCCCGGAATTCAGAGGTTATTTCCTAGATATGAGGACCCAGCCTCCTGTTTGGGAATCACAGACTATATGACTTGTGCTTGACTCATCCCTCCC